TGTAGGCAAAGAACCTTACAACCTGTGTGCCTCCCAGACTTGGTGTCTTCAGTCACAGATACCTAAGATGCCAAGAAGTCAAGATTGTTTGTGGGCATGGGCACTAGGGATGGCCTCCCTACTGCTGTCACCCTTTGAGTGTGAATACAACAGAATGAGTACCTCTGCTTAGTCTGCTTACCTCATTAACTTACTTTCCACATCCTTTTGCCTTTTTCTTTGTTCTGCTGCACTTCTCATGAGCTTGTGATGATAAGACAGCTTCTTATTTAAAGACACTGAAATTCTTGTTTGTTCCAGAAATATATTTTTTTAAATCAAAATGTTATTGTTTAAAAAGAAAGGTGAAAAACACCTTTACATTATAAACTAAGCATGCAGCTGAAATGGATGTTACTGGTGACACAACTGAAAATCAGGCCAGAGGGGTCAGGTGACCTCAAGAAGTAAAGATTCCTCATTCAATGAGGCTATTTTTTTAGTTCTGTCTGGTATACATGCTGTACTGTTAGCTGTGGCTTCTTCAGACATTGAGACAAGAAATCCCAGCTTTGGTCTAGATAGGATTGGTTTTGCACATTATCAAAATAACTGAGCTTTAACCTTATGTCAAATTTTACGGGAATATTGCTGTGCTGTAACTGTCTTTCTCACTGTCATGGTTGGAGTGGAGAGGATCTAGAGTCTTCCCTAAATAAGGAGTTGGTGGGCTGATAAGCCAGTTCAGTAACCGGCTTCCAAAACCCAGATTCCTCCTGCAATGTTAGTTAGCTATAAAATATTTTAAATGACACTTGGAATTATTCTGCAATCAAACGGGCATCCCACTGAGATAATTTATTTCCACCAAAGAAAGCTACCTCTCCACTTACCTAAAAAGCCAACTTATTTACAATCAAAGAAGTTGGAAAGATTACAGATAGTGATTGCTTTAAGCAGGATGAACACTGCAAAGCAACCAATTCTTACACTGACTTCTGCTTGTATTACTCTCGGGTAATAGATGATTTACACTACAAAGTTTGGCCTTCCATTGCTATTTCTGCCCCCTAATAAATAGCTATGACAGCAATTCTTCCTTATACTGCTGCCATATTTCTATTGGTAGCTTGCCATTGCCACAGATGAAAATGTCACATGTTCTCCTTTAGCTAATTAATAATACCATCAGCTAAACTAGCTCTCAAAGACAGAGCTGACCACAGGGAAAGTCCATCAAATCAAGCAGTGTTTGCCTTGACAAGGGGGCTGGAGAGAAGCTGGCGTAAAGGTCACAGCTTCTTCTCGTGTTTGTTTCTAAGCAACCCAGTCAGTCAGTCTGTGGTTGCTGCACACTGGGTTGAGTTGTTTTGCTTTCTTGTCTCTGCAAGTAAGACACTGAAGGTGACAGGCCCTTGGGGAATAAGCCACCATGTTCCACATCAGCTGGCTGAAGAAGTTCCTGTTTTATGGGCAGGAGGCCTGAAAGCAGACCCACAGAAGAAACCAGTAGTGAAAGAACTGTTTGGAGTCAGAGACTTCCAGCTAGCTCTTGCAAAGCATAAAAACATAAATGTAATTTAAAGCCCTAAGAACTGCCCAAGTCTGTGTGTGTGAGAAAGCATGGCTATCTTGAGACTGACAAGAATGGGTCATCCCTTGGTTCTGTGCACTGGTCACAGTGAAGCAAGGGACAGCCTGTCCAGCAGGTTAAGGAATAGCTGAATGGCCCAGTTGGGAATATGTCAATACTAGGATGGTATTCATAGTAGTAACCAATTTAAATTACATACCAGAAACCATCAAAGGCTGATGCAGGAAGCTTGCAGAGATGACACACCAGCAGCAAAGCAAAACTCTGATGACTCTGAGTGATCTGATGGACATTTACACAGAATTCTTTTTTGTGGCTTTCTGCCTTTTCTGCACTGGTTATAAAGGCTTTCTCAACCAGGGTGAGATGCCGGAAGCCTGATGCTGCTAAGGGACAGGAGTGCTCAAGGTGCATTCCCTAGGTGCAGGATGGCTGTCAGAATATAAAGCCATACCAGAAAAACGAGATAGATTTTGCAAGGATTCTCAGTAGGTGAGTTCAAATGATCACATTACTGGGACCATTCTTCATTGGCATTCTCCAGGGCATCTCTCTCATGACTGGCATGTCAGTAAAGGGGACAGAATAATTCACTAAAATGAGCAGTAACACATTTCCAGGATCAAGTACTTGCACAAAATTTTTAGTGGTGTCCAAGGATAAAACAGGTAATTTTTAAATTGTGATGTACAATTTTTCTCATATTAGATAATTGGAGGCAACTAATTTGATGCCAGTTTCCAGAGTTTTAGGAGAGAGCTAGAGAACATATGGACGAAGAAATCTTCTGTCTTCGCTGGCCAAGTTGGCAAGAACTGTAATGCAGACCCAAGAGATTAACACATTAGGAAGGAATCAACAAAGTTTTGGTAAACAGACCTAATTCTTCCCAAATTCATTAGTTCTTTGAAGTATTCAATAACCCTGACGACACAGGCATTCCAGCTGATATAGTTTACTTTAAATTCAGAAGAGATTTTAGCACATGCCTTTCAAAGGCTCTTAGAGGATATAATCTGAGGGAATAAACAGGAAGGTCCTTGAATGGATAAACAGTTAAAAGATAGAACAAACAAGGCTATGCAGAAATGGTTGGGGTTTACAGTGGAAAAGATTATGAATGCTTAGTTTAAGCAGTTCAATATATTTCTGAATGACATGAGAAAAGTAGACTAGTTGGCAGATTACCTTTTGTGATGCTACCAAGGATACTAAAGACAAAGATTGAAGAATTGCAGAAGGACCCCATTCCAGGGGGAAAAACCCCAGCAGATAAAATTCACTTCTGATAGATGGAAAATAAGGCACAAGGAGAAAACCCAGTCCTAACACTTACAGTGATGGGCTCTGAGCTCATTAGTACCATTCACAAATGCTATTTTTATACTAGGCCAAAGAATATCTGGCACAATGCTAAGCAGCAGTCAAAAAAAAAAAAAACAAAAAAAAAAAAAAAACCAAAAAAAAAAAAAAACCCCAAAAAGTTGATTACACACAATTATTTAAGAAAGGAACAAAAGGCAGTGCATTCTTCCACTGTATGCCCCTGTGGTATCCCAGTACATCTCAAAAAGTACTTTAAGTTATACTGCCCCTATTTCATAAAAACTACAGTGAAATTAGAAAATTTGCAAAGACAGTAATAAGGCTAATTGAAAGTGTGGACAAGCTTTCATATGTGGAATGATTAAATAGCTTAGGATGATCTCGGCTGGAAAAGAGATGGCTGAGGACAGAATATGACATATCTGTAAAACTATAGTGGCATTGAGTTGGTGAATAGGTTTTGAATCCAGTATGATAATTAGGAAGCAGAAGTAGCAGGAGAAAAACAAATAAATGCATTTCCTCTGACAGTGTATAGTTAAACTGCCACATTTAAGGCAGGATTTTGTGGAAGGTATGATTTTATGAGAGATGGAAAAGTGACTGGGAGAAATAATTGAAGGATAAAAAAAAAGTCTGCTGAAGGCTGTATAACTATAAAGACTGGAGGCTATTAAATATAAACTTTGGGAGGCCACAAACCCCAATGTAGTGAAGTCTTGACGAACTCATCATGTATTCATCATTTATACTTTTTCCCAACACCTCTCCCAGGCAGGTAGGGGAGGGTATGGCACTAACTCATCTCCCCACCTCTGCTCCTGTGCTCTGAGGAAGAAGCTAGAAATGCCTATGCAAGCTGGTCACAAACAAACACTATTGTAGCACAATGAAGACTGAAATCCCCTATCAGAAAGAGTGCAGACTGTGCTAGTACAGAACCCTAGCAAGGGCCAGGGAGCCATGCAGGGGTCATGTTAGGATCTGTCCTGCATGCAGATCTTATTTTCGTCTGTGATGCCAATGGCTATTGGTATCTATGGATATATACTAGGAGAGAGGCAGGTTTGTCACTGTGTACTTTGTGCAGCTATTCTTGGAATATCACATGCATGATCTTAAAGAAGGATATTAATTAAAATGGAAAGTTTAATTGCATATACAGAGCACTGCAAAGTGGTTTGGGATGTTTTGTGTTTCACAGCTCTGTGTCGGAAATGTTCTGGGAGACATTATGAAGTGTCTCAACTCCCTCTGGCATTGACCCACAGGCTGCCCATATGTGTAGTCACAGCTACATCAGTGACAATACAGACAGGAAAAGCCAGAGGCAACACAGCCTGAGGATGGGAGCTGTACCAACTGTGCATCTCTATGTCCCTCAGCTTGTTTCAGTGAGCAAATTCACTGTGCCCACTGATGGGTAAGCTACACACACTCAGGCTACTCCAGCTGGTGTACTGCTTTGGATAGCCACCCCTCTTAGTAATTACTGGCTTTGGAATTACATCAGGGACAATAGCAATAATTTTGAGGAAGGTTGTTAACTATCCTCACATACGAAAAATACTTTTTGAAAACACTAACAGTCAAACTGCTCAAATAATGGTTTTCAATAAGAGGTTTTTTAGTTCAGCTGGTCTCCTTGGGGGTAAAAATTCCAGCTGCATAAATGTGAAAGTTAGTTGTCCTGCTTTTAGGACCTGTATGGGTAAGAGGAAAATACTAAAAATTCCCTTGGTAATACAGAGTTAATATTGCTAAATACTGAGTTGTCGTTAGAGCTGACTACTCATTTCCAATAAACCACAATGAGACAAACCAGACACAGGAACAGGAATTTCATTAATAGCCTTAAATATGCAATTTGGGCTTGGGGGACTTGGCTGACAGGTATAGTTTTATATGAAAACAGACCTTAGTCTAACTTAGAATATGAGGGTGAGTTCAGAGAGCTGGAACTGAAACCATACTACCCTCTCTGCTGAGCTTGACTACACTCAAATGACAGAGGTCACATCAAATGACACGAACTAAAAAAGATAAATAATCAGATAAAAAGGCTGATTTTTTTACAATTCTGTCCTTGATTTCTTCATAGGAAGAACCTGGTCATCTTAAAGGCAGTGCAATGGATTTACATATTAAGTGGCTTAATCGAGAATATATGAAAACTCAGAGGAACTGGGAAGAAGTGGATAACAGAATGAATGTGACAATGGAAATACGGAGAAAGATGATCAGTGATAAGGCACCTTTAAAAGATGTTCTTAGACTATTTCCTTTCTTAAGATGCCCTTATCAGGTAACAACTATTTTTAATAATGACATTGAATCCTGTGTTATAGATATGATACATCTGTAGACATGTATTTCATAGGATGTTTCCACTGAAGTATCCATCAGCAATATTCTCTTTAATCTAACTCATATTGAAGCTAATCCCATTTTAAAACGTTCATCAGTTCAATTCTGAGTTAAAGGTGTCACACATACCACTAGTGTCACTATTTGGTGTTACTTGATGTATTCCTTCCCTGCTTTGAAAAAAAAATTACATCAGCCTCTTGAGTTTATAATCTTATTTAACTGAGCTAGTTTTATCCTGTCTTCAAAGTGCATGCACTGTTTACAGTTTTGGTTTTGAGGTTTGCAGTACCAAACACTTGTTTTTCTTTTAGCTTTTTAGGGAGTTCCAGCTTCTCACACACATGGATATTTATAAGAAAACAGTCGAGATTCTGGAGATTTATTCAGAAAACATTTTATCCTTGTATGTGGTGAGGAATAATCCAATTAACATTATGCTGCAAGAAAATCTGAAGCAGCACACAGAGGAAGACGTTCTGAAATGTCAGTACAAATCTCCTATGCTCTGAATATCAGAGTTTTGTTGTAGCTAATTGTTCTTACTTATGTAACTAAACTAGTTTCAATTGTACTGCAAGCACATTTCAAAAGTGTTATGGTTTCTTTGAAAATATAGAATGAATGTGAAGCATTGAGAATAAAAGCTACTAAATTAGTAGGAAAATTAAGTCAGTCAAGTATTGAAACTTTTTTTTTCACTGAATAAGACTGCAGGTTTGATAAAGTAAGTAATTACCTTAAAATAAGTATTGCTAGATGAGCAGAAGTATGTATTTCTAGATATGAGTGCTTATTATTTTCTAAAAATACCCACAGAAAACTAATTTTCTGCTTTAGAAATAGCCCCATAAAAAAGACACAATTTCCTTTACAAGTCAAGTTTCTATGGTTATAATCTTCACCCCAGTAAAATTAAAGAAGTAGTTCCCACTAACCATTTCAGGCACCATTTCATCTCTGCAGAGACACACTGCAGGAGAAAGGGCACAGACTGGTGCTTCTGGTGAGGTCCATGTACCCTGGCTGTGGGGGAGCAAACACCTGCTGACACTCAGCTTCTTTCAGTCTGAGAAGTCTGGGGAATGTGGTCGTGCAGGGACAAACTTTTCAAGCAGTCACTCAGATTTGCCATTCCTGCCCAGCTGCCGCTGCCTGTGCCCAAGCTGAGCTCTCTGAGAAGTCCTCCTTAGACTCACTTTCTGTCAAACAGGCATAATGCCAGGATGTCAATCCAAGGTCACACCATATGAACACGTGTGTCCTACTTTCACTCCATTTATTGCCAGGTCATCTTTGAAAGAAGCAGGAAGTGTAGGTTAAAATTCTGGGGATTTCCTTTGCTAAGATTAAAAACAAAAGTAGGCATGATAGATTAAAATTCTTCAATGAATAGTCTAATCTAGAAAGCCTTTATGGACTTTCTTTTCATAGCTTTGGCCAAGGAAATCTATGGATATAGTAAGTAATTTCCCCTTTTCTTATACAGCATGTCCACAGAGATTTTGACTCATGCCTTAGTAAAGTCCCACGTCTTTTCTGCTTTTCTCTCACAAATGGCTTGACCTGGCATGTAGATTATAAATGCATAGTGAGATAATTTCAGTGAAGCATATGACACCAGAAGCCTGACCTGCAAAAAAGATGTTATAGTCATTATCAGCTGAGCCAGAGGAATGGCAGGTACCAGGAGGTTCTGCAGCACCAGCTGGTACCACAGCCTTCAAAGCAGAGTTCTGGAAACACGACTCCCTGGACTTCCAGTTTACTGAGGAGAGAGGAGTTTGGGGAAGGGCAGTGAGGGCAGGAAGACTACTCAGCTCACAAACTCAACTAAAAGCAGCCTAAAGGCCAACTTACTTATTGTGAAGAAAATTGAATTGTAATATTGAGTAGCAGAGTCCCATGAATTATTTGACACTAATGTTCATTACCAGCTGAGTTGCCTAAATATTGACTGTGGTACAAACTACTCTCCAAAGTGGACTGAACAACAGCTTCACTACTGAGCTGTTAACTATTATGTAGGCTGCAATCTGTTTTTCCAGGATGATACTGCAGTGCCAGAAAGTTTTCTTTTGTAATTTAGTAGAAATCCTTGCCTTTGACAGATATGAAAATGACTGCTGCATGTTTACTCCTGCCAGAGGTCTTTGGAGATGATTCCAGTCTGTTTGCTGCAGTGAATGAGGAGGTAGGAGACAGAGCACCAGAAGCCTTGGTCTCTCTTCCTTTTATCACCTGCACATCACCTGGCCTTTTGGTGGCTCAGCTTAGTTCTGGGGAGAGGTGACATTAGCCTGCCCTTTGAGTAGAAATGGTCAGAGAACTTCAAAGCACTGTTATCAGCCTTACTTCATTCTCTGATCTGTTCATCATAGAAATGTTGTGGCATCATTTGAAATACCCTTTTTTAAATTTAGGTAAAGGCAGTGACGCCAGTGCTGGAAGTGAAAAATCCCTTTAACATGAATTCATGCGAGTTTGCCCTGTACATAGAAAGGGAAGAGCTAGCCCAGCTGGATGACTGCACCATGGCTCTGGCGGCGCTGGTGGCTGCATTCCATGTGTTTGATATCCCATGCCCAAAGAGAATCCACAGGACGCTGAACTTCCTGGAGTCCCTGGTCTTTGAGGTGAGGAACCCAGCATCCCTGCCCACCCCAGTAAAGACAGGGCTGGAGACACCCAAGCATCCAGTATCTGATGGTGCACCCAGCACTCCTCTCAGGAGCATTTGATATTTTGTTAAAATAAATCCCTTTGTGCCATTCTTTCTAGTGAAAGTGTATGTATATTTAAAAGCTATGTTTAGTGATGTCCTCCTTTTTTTATTGTACTGGCAACTTCTAACAAAAAATTAAAACTCAAGCAATTTCATTATTTTAAATGTAGATTTCAGAGCAGTCGAGAGAAAATAAAATTTTCTAGATTACTTCATGTGTTATGTATTATTTTTCTATAAGGAGCATTTGAAAAAATCAGATATTTTGATTGTAAGTATTAAAAAAAAAAATGAGCCAACATAAGCATTTCACTGCTTCAGATGGTAATACAATTAATGTTTCGAAATGGCACAAATTAAACATTTACTTATTACCATTACTTCCTAATGCTATGATTGCTGAGAGCCTAATATAATGATTTTAGTAGTTTAAAATGGTGGCCTGATTTTCAATTTACAGGATGATGACTTTTTACTGTTTTCTTCTTGCATGAAACATTTTGTTTTAACATTAATCCTGAATTTACTAAATAGGGATTCTAAGACCAGCTCTCAAAGCAGCAAGAATGACGTATCTGGGATGCTGCCATGTGCATTGGTAACCACAGCTTTGGTGCTGCAGAGGGAACATTTCTTTTCCATGGAACAAATCAGCTTTCTCCACATGGTGACTCTGTCTGCCCACACAGAGCAGAAGCCCTGTCCTCTCTTCTTCCACAGCCTTTTCTCTTTCCCAACACTCTATTCTTAACTCCTGTCTGAAAATCCCAGGGGATACTGTCTGGCAGTGCATGGCTCTGGACAAGTGCCTGGTGATAGGAACACACAACAGCCAGGACCCATTGCATTAATTAAGAACTAGCTTTTTTTAAAATACTGCTTTCTATTAGAGACCAATCTCCCACCAGTTCCAAAAATGCCACCTTAGGCAAAGCAGCACCTGTGGTCACCATGATTCCTTAAACACTCAAACACACAGCCTGGAAGGTCATAGAAGCTTTGTTAAATTTTGGCTGTGCAGGGGTGACTCCAAGGCAGTGATTACAGTGGGAGATCCTTCAGGATGAGAGGAGATGGCTGCATTTGATGGCCAAATTCTCCTGCTATAGGCTTCACATGGTTCCCATGGAATGCAGGGAACCTTTACCAGTGTGAGGGCTGGGCTACCACTGATACAAAACAAAAAACAATGCCATTTCAGAGATCCAGTAGGTCTGATGAGTGGTTTTAGTTTCCAAGTAAATTTGTTGACTGTAGATTTTGTACTACATCATATAGGATGTAGTATGGGAATGATGATGATGTATGGGAAGCTCCTTCATCATATGGAACATAAAAGCAAGGATTATGTATGTCCTCATTATTGTATGTGATAGCTGTATGAATAAAAAATTTGGCTCAAGTGAGGTTTATTCTACATCTTGTAAACAGTATTAATTTAAATCCATTTCTTAAACCACAGTACTTTGTAAGTAGTTGTATATAAAAATTCAGGGAGGTGCTAAGATCCCCAAGTAATCTCTGTTGAGCTGCGAATCTCTTTGTTGGTTATCACTGCAGGCTGTGGACCTGACACACAGGACAGACATAGAGGGTAGGGGAAAATAAATTACATGGAAGGAGAGAATGAAAGAAACCAGAAGAATTTGGCTTTTTACTAATCTGTCTGTGCAACTTCAGCTGCTGCTGGTGACAAAGTCCAGGGATATAAATGGAATTCTGATTGTAATGGCCAGGGGGACGTGAGCTTTGGGAGTAAGTGCTGAGGAAGAGGGCACACAGCAGTAGCTAAGTTGCTCTTTTAAAACCACTGGCTGCACTGAGCTACAGTGAGAAATCGCTCCACACCACACCCATCGGCAGCAGCTGGGTTCATCTGGGAGTCCTGGGCACACACAAAGGTAACAGAGACTCCAGTTCAGGTTTTATTTGTATTGTAGTACAATAAGAGTGCAATTTGAACGTACACATACTGAACAAAATGTAAAAATATTATTTATGCAATGCTATGGGAGGAAATTAACAGAGCAATGCAACTTAATACTGACCCTGTTTCACCTCATATTATGGCAGGTACCAGTCACCTACACGATCTGGAAGGGACACAGAGAGTGAAAACTTAAGGACTCCAGCCAAAGAAAAGCCTAGCAAAATCTGTGGGAAGATGTAACATTCTCCCAGTTCTGTGCAATAGGAATGTTCTGTTTGTTCTCAGTTCTACAGCTGAGCAACTGCCCACTGCAGCACTAAACAGAGGGCTGCCAAAAAACCTGATCCAACTCTTCTCTCTCTTCTTGCAAAGTAATTTGGTAGCAGTCCTCAGTACACAGGCAGCTAGGCTTTCTCCCATATAAAGTGCATCTGGTTTACATCTTGTGTGTATATCTACCATGTGCAACGACTTTTCGACTTTCCCTATAATAATCCTCCAAGAAAGGAGGTTGCCTCACCTCAGTACCTGCTGGTGACACCTGCAGCCTGCTAATGACCTAGTGAATTGCATGTTTTTTACACCTAGCACGTGCCGGTGTACCACAAGCATTTAAGTATCCTTTTCCCTGTGCTTTGCCTTTCCCCATATGCCTTATTCATTTACAAATCAGAGTTTTCAGCTAGAAAGTGGTGAATAAAATAATTCTCCCACCTCTGGGAAAACAAACCTCTGTTGAATATGAAACCAGGGTAGCAGTCCTAGCTTGAGCACAGTTTTTCTCCATTGTTGTGGTAACTATGCTGAAGACTGGGAAGTGCAGACACAATTGCATGTAATTTCTTTTCTGCTGATTTCCTTGCCTCAACATACTCCTATTTTCTTCCATGTTCTGAAGGACTGTAGCAGACTCCATGTAAATGGCTGGGACTCTATTGTGCAGCATAAAAAAAAATCTTCTATGAAGTCAAATTTTATTTTTCAGTCGCAGCCTTCTCTATACTGGTCTTTTGATAAAATACATGAAAGATGCTGGTGGCAAAACTCACGTAACATTTTTTGTAATCGTGCAAAAGTAAAAACATTCAGTTATCAAAAAAGCATTATAATTTCAACCCCAACAAGGTTTCTTTTTTTACAAGCAAACAGACAGTTTTATTATCTGTAAAGTAATATGCTGTAGCATAAAGTGTCACATATGTAACATTAAGTGTTTCATTTTCAGACTATGGCACAAATACACATTAGCCATAACAGTCTCATCTGGCTACCTGTAGCCTAATTTTTGGCTGATCAGTTTTTATTTTGATAAAATGAAGTAAAAGCTTCTGAAAAGTAAAATGGGTAAATGAAGTACAATTCAAGAATCCTTAGAAAATATTAACGTTCCCTTATATAATACAGCATAAATAATTAATGAAGGTTTTCTTGATGTCCAGAGAGAGTTAGGGATCCTAACCATCCATGGAGAAGTAGCGCCATTAGTTTGGTAAATAAGACCAGCTGACTCGGTTGTCACACAGTACCTTCTCAAAAGCTTGAACACTTCCCAGAAGGATTCAGATGTGTACTAGCTCCAGGAGAATATAAATAGTCCACCAGTGCTGAACTTAAGTTTCTTCCTTTCTGAGAGTCATTACTCAACACTTCTAGTGAGTCTTTGTGCTTTGAATAAAACATGAGCTCCAGTGGAGAAAGCTGGTTCGTGCACATTTTCCATTATCTTCAAAGTTCATTGTGTGAGTTTTTCTCTGCAGCTTTGAACATCAGAATGGAATTAAAGATTTTTAGGGCTGGTCCCAGTTTAATGCTCATTATTTTGACTATGTCTGATTGGGTCATTAGCAGGAATGCTTCTCCATCAATTTGCTTTAAAAGAAAAACACACAAAGCTATTAATAGGTCTGACAGTGCAGCAGTATAAAAGTTTCAGAAAACATGAAAAGAAAAGTCCCAGCAACTTCAGAAAAAGTTAAGGGCTGGCTGAATACAAGCACTTCAAACTGCTTTCAGGAGAGCTTTGATTTCAACCTTTAGAGAGATTAGTTAGTCTAAGAGAACAGGATGATCTTCTTCCTGCTCGAAAACAACCGTCTGGCTAATTTTTATCTAAACAGTTCTCATTTTCATACTGACAATATAAAACCTATTGAAAAGTAAAGTGGGTAAATTAAGTGTAATTTAACTATACTGAAGCACAGCAATGCTTTTAAAAATCTTAGCTATTCTTTTTATGCAAGCATCCACAGGAGAAGCTTCTGGATCTCACTCCCAGCTACAGAGCTGGAATCCCCTTCAGGCCACCACTTCTCTGCTCACTAAATAGCAAACTGAAATTAATTTGATCCCAGATGAAAATAGGGGCCAGGCTAATAAAACAGTTTTTTTGACACAAACAGAACATTTCAAAACATGGAATATTTATTCTTTGTATTGTTGATGTTCTACTAAACATTACAAATGAACATTCTCCTGTAAGCAAATCACTCTCTCAGCAGGAGTGCCAAATCCCAAGAGGAAGAGTCCCCAGGGTCCTCACTTCAGGGGCTTCAATGGGGCCAACATTTCCTATGTAACCTTTGGATCACTTCGGTATCTATATCCAGTGTAAGCTGGATAGCTATACATAAAATGCAACTGTGGTTAAATAGAGGCACTGCTTAGCCTTAAAGATACTAACCTGAGATAAAAACAGTCTAAATTCCTCTAGGGCTAGGAAACAAGTTTTCTGAACCAGACATGCTGCAAAGGACACCCCAGCACTCTAAGTTGAGGAACACTGCAGTCAGAACAGCACCATGTGGTAACCCACAATTACTTTCTACTCGTTTCGTACACAAAGCCAGACTTGGTGGGCTCAGAACTTGAAGTGGGTGAACTTGGGGCCCCCCAAATAAAAAGCTGAAGCATCTTAACAGAAGCAGGCTGAAGGCTCACTTCCATAGTAGAAGTTTGAACCAGCATCTTCTGCCTACTGATGTCAGCCAGTCCCTGCATCAATGACCTCATTGACCTCAGTGGGGAACATTTAATTTACTAGTCACAGAAAAGGCCTGAGAGGCTGAATCCTAGAGAAGGGAAATATT